CAGAAGTCGCGGGAGAAGCCAGTCCCGAGAGAACCGACTCTCTCTTTCTCTCTCTCTCTCTTCGACCGCCACCTGCTTTAAGGTTGCCTCACTTGGCTCGTTAGAAGGGCTCTCTCTCTCTTTCCTCCCTTCGCCTTGGGCTCGGTTTTTCCTCTCTCTCTCTCTCCTCCCCGACGAATGGACTCGCGGAACCCGCGGATGTGGAGCGACCTTTGACATGTATAAATCAAATTCAATCGCGCCGGGGGTTTTTATACCTTCTGTAATTGGGAAGAGAGGGCGCCACTGTAGAGGAGGGAAACCCCGAATCTTAAGAGGGAGGCTTTTCTAGGAGAATCCGGAAGGGAAGACTCGCGGCCTCCGCCATGACTTTTCGCCCTCGAACTCGAAACGGGGCTCCGACTGCATATCGACTGCACCGCTATCGGTATCGACCTGGCTTCGTACCCGGCATTACTCGCGGCGGATGGAAGCTCGCGGCGAAGAAGCTCTTAGGCATAAGTAGCGGGACAATGGGTCGCGGATAGGAGGAAGGGAGAGCGAGATATCGGGAGAGAAAACCCGAGCCGACCGCCGCCACCCGTCGATGCGACGCCGCTCCGTCCCACGTCCTTGGAAACTGGGATGTCGCACTCGTCGCGGCGCGTCGTCGCGTCAAATGTTCCGATCCTCTCGAAATCTAGCTTAACCTCTTTCTTTCCACTTATCTCCGTCTATCTTGCCTAACCGTATTTCCATGGCCGACGCGTCGCCGCGCCGCTTTCGGTGTGACGGGCCTGTCGGCGTCGCCGGTGCCCGGGTCGCTCGCTCGGGGCGCCGATTGGCCGGCGGCGCGCGCGAAGGGCTGGGTTCCCGGAGGCACCGCGGGAGGGAGGAGCGCTCGAGGGTGCTCTCGCTAGCGCGGCGAGCGCGCGAGTGGTATAAATCCGCCGCTTCGACCCCTGCCGTCCCGCCGGGCCCCGCTGTCCCTCTCGGGGGCTCTTCTTGGTTTTTCCCTCGAATGCCCTCGAGCCGGCGGGCCTCTCTCCTCGGGCTCTCTCTCGGAGAGAGCCTAACCCTTCGGAAGCGAGAGGAGAGCCTCGAAAGCTCGTTAGCGAGCGTTGCGCGCGCGCCATTTTCTCTCCTCTTGGCTCCGGCCCGCGCGAGATGGAGCCCTCGAGAGGGAGAGAGAGCGTACCGCGGGATCACCCCAAATCCGGAGTGGGACCCTCCCGGCACCGCTTCCGGTCGCGGGTGAATCCTCCCCCGGTCTCCCGAGGGAGCACTCGAACCCGGGGCGCGATCGCCGCGACCTCTTACGGTACAACATCCGCGGCGGCTGCGCAAGCTGCGCCTCTTTGTGCCGCGCTCTCGCCATCTTCCTACCCCCCTTTGCCTCCCCATCGAGGGCCCCTCTTCGCGGCACTCGACGCCGCCATCGCGACCCTCGAACCCCTTGTTTCCCCTCCTGCTCGTTATCGCCCGCCACTTCGACTACGAGTTTTCCGCGGCTCGCCTCGATATTTCTTCTCTCTCTTTTTATACACTCGAGGACCCGACTCGAACCCTGGATTTGGAAACGGAGGAGAGCCCCAGGGAGGTTATGTTCCCTATGTCGATATAGAGGTCGCGAATACTCCTTTGGCCCTCTTTCGTTGGGATTTTTTTGTTTTGTTTTGTAGGTTAGGCCGCGCAGAGACGTGGCCTCCATTTCGCTTTTAGAGGCCCCTGGGACCCCCGACTCCCTCGCATCCCGTGTTCGGGGATGTTCACGGTGTTCCGGATGTTCGGGATGTTCGGCCTCGATGCTATACCCTCGAGCTCGCTCCACCCCATCCCCCGCGACACGGTACATCGCCCGTTCAGTATTTAACCGTCCCGACGCCACGCGTCGGGGGCTCACCTACTAACTCGTCCGTTAATATTAAAGGTCCACCGGGAGCGGCCACGCTGCCGATTAACGGCGCCGGGCGCCGCGAATCTTTACCGCGGCCAAATTCACGGGGACACCCCTACGCTCGGGACGCACCCTCGACTCCTCGCGCCCCGGACCGGGGCGCATCAAACATTCAGAGGACGACCGTCCCGATTATCCCTGACATCTGACCAGGACTTTTGAACATCGCGCCGGGACCATTCCTCTTACTCTCCCCTGTAGAGACGCGAGACCGATCGCCCGCGATTTGCCAGGGTATTTGTCCGGTCTTACGCATTAACGACATGTATTGTAATATGTCGGACGGGCGTACATGCACGTCTTACGCATTAACGACATCTTACAATACATGTCGTTAATGCGTAAGAATTTATCAAAATTCCACCCACGCTGAGCAAAGAGATTTCCTCGAACCGAGAAAGATATTTCGTTAATTCGAAGAATAATTATTTGACTCTAATGAATTCAAATTGGATGCATCGCTTTCTTCGGGATTATCACAATTTCATTTCTCAGTGAAGTTCTTTCAATTAACGAAATGCCTCTTTGGGTCAATGACATTTTCTTTTTTCTTTTTTCTTCGGCTTGGATAGAACTTTTAAAATTCCCGAGGATTGGCATTATGTTGCTTTTTTTTTTTCTTCTTTAAGAATTACCAATTTTTGTTACGTTGATGCATCGACGTCGCGACGCCTCCATGTCGATACAATACGGTCAATAGGGCGATCGATCGATTTAGGCCCGATTAAGGTTTCAATTCGCATATGTCGAATCGTACAGTCGATATTGCTCTCTCGAGGGATGTTTTAACTCTTTCCTTCGATGCTCGTTCGTGATGTATGGTCACGTCCTCCGGAGGAGAGGAGAGAGAAAGAGAGAAAGAGAGAGAGAGGACGGAACAATCGTTCGCTCGGCCGAAGTAATTGGTAATTGTCTTGTCGAGTCGTGCGGGGCTGCAGAATGCAGGACCTTTAGGGCCTCGTAATTATATGCAGTCGAAACGATATAATCCATCGTGGCCGCGAGGCGAGGAGATCCGTGACCGTAGCCAATGCTCTTCTTTAACGCGCCTCGCCTCGAGATGCTATTTCCACCGCGGATAACGAACGAGACGCGGCCGTAAATAATATTTTCATTCACCGGTGGCGTAGGCCGTTGAAAAATGAAACGCACCTTGCCCCGCGGAATCCTTCGGCGGGACTTTAACGCGCCGTACCGCGAGAGACATTGCGGAGGCCCCGATGGCGAGCGCGGCCATTTTGGATTTTCTGTACCGGCCATAAAATCCTGCTTTTTGGTTCGTTAAATCCGAGCGAGGAATTTTCCAAAAAATCTTCACGGCTGTTCTGGTTTAACAGGGACCCTTGCATGCATCGATTTACCCGGACAGTGTCAATAGACACCGGGCCTTATCTCTGCCCTGCTCTTCAAATGCATCCTCTAGGAGATGCAAGATCATAGCTGACCGGCGATGCATCGAGCCTGAATCCGTCAAAAGATTTCAATATCGCGCCCCCCCGCTCCCCGGATATATGAAATCGCCTTGTTTAGTCAAAGGATGAACCTCATGGTCAATACGCCCCGAAGTGGTCCCTGCCCTGTAGGACGATTAATCATCTCAGGGTGGCGACCATCTCGAGCGGTACCGACGATCCTCCGTAATCCTCGGTCATTATCGCTCGTCCTTTTGCGCCTGCACCCGGGTGACATGGAAAAATCACACGGAGGACCGAGCTCTCCCGATCTCGACTCGACTTTCCACACTCATTTAATTCCCCCTTAGTTATCCCTATTAAAATCTATGTACGTATAAAGTATAAACAATTGTCTGGCGAGTATTTCACATTTTTTAGGATACCCTTTCGGGTCTAATCTATGATCTGGGACGCATAGGAGACCTCGCTAGGTCTCCTCGACCTAACCCTGGCCATGTCCACTAGGCGGTGGTCCATGGCTCCGGATTCTGCTAACCAGAACAGCTGCTACGACCTCGCATCATTTACTAATTAGTCCCAGTTGTCGAATTCCTGGCAAACCATCGCGCACACGGCTACTTCTGTGAAGCCCTCTTCTTGATATTCGGGGTCTCCGGATTTCTAAATTTATCCCGTATGATAATTGGTCCCGATCGGCGAGTCGATGGAGTTGATTTCCCGATTAGGCGGCGCTCTTTCCGCTCATTTATTTCCTCCGTTCCTTTTTTATTCCCCTTCGGGCAGGAAAGACTCGTTGGGCCGGGCGGGCGCGTCTCGTTGCTCGAAAACCGTTTACACATGCCGTGTACAAAACGTCGAAACCTCGTCCCATCGACACGACACATCCGCGCGCGGGTCGGAGAGAAAGGTCGCCGGTGTCTTCTTCAAAGTCCCAAAGAAAATACGACGGTTCCCCGCTACGAATGAGCATATATGCACTGCATATTCCAGCGGGAAGGGCGAGGGCGGGGAAGAAAGGACGCTCGTCCTGGAGGTTCCACAACCTACGGTAAACAGCCCTGGCGATGTATAAGTCAACACTGATGTTTGAAAGCGAGCGGCTGTCGTTAAAGGCATCGAGTCGGCCAAATGTCAGATTTTTCCTGAAAAATATACACACACAGTCCCCCATAAATCATCTCTTTATCTCAGCGTCTTACCAGAAAATTGGAGTAGAAAATTTCGGAGAGGAATTCTCGAAAGCCGGGATGACCGTCCAGATAAGGGCCCTCCGTAAAATCCTCCATTTTGAGGGGATTTCGACATCCACCTCGGCTTTCACCCTCACCCTATCAGTTTCGTTTCCCTGTAACAACGATACGCCGTAGGCGGCCCCTAATTAACAAATTCGCGACTCATTAGTGGGGAAGACGCGCGGTTCGGCATTATTCCCTGCCTGGATTCTTCCTGGAACATCCTTGGCCCATGTTACGGGATGAGGCAATTCGTGTACCGAGCCCATTGTTTATGGAAGGACCAATGGGCACCCGGGACAGAGGGAAACCCAGAATTTCCTGCCAGTTCAGCCTCCACCTTGTCAGGTGGCCCTGAAAATCAGATCAAGCGGTGTTAAGTTACATAAGGATGTTTTTTCTTTCCTCTGATTACAGGTACTTAGGCGTGGAGCCCAGAGCAGGTGGATTCGGGCCCGAGGGTGGGCCCGATGGGCAGCCGCAGATCGGAGCTGGCGTAATTGGGCCCGCGAGTGCGGAAAAGCACTGCAAAAATCCGCATCTCACCCCGAAGCAACAATCGGTCTGTTCCCGATCCCCGCCGATTTTACAGGTGAGCATATGTACCTCTGATCTCCCCTTAATCTTCATTTCTTGAAATTGGGCCCAAAGAAGGTACTCGTCGTTTTATTTTCTTTTTTTTTTTTTCTCCTCCCAGTGGTATAGCAATCCTCGATCGTTTATGGTTACGTTCCAGGGGAAGCAGTTAAGTATGTTAATTCCGGCCGTATCGTTCCAGCCAGCTGTTGTCGACCCTCCCAGTTTTCGGGAAATTAAATTGGAAACGACCTAGGAGGGCCCGTAGGTGGGCAGGAGATGGTGGATCCGAGAAGGGGGCCCATTTCTCTCATGGCGGGGTAACCTGGAACTTCGAGGCCGCCATCGAGAGCGAGATTCGTCTTATCGGTCCTTCTGGGCAGTTATCTCGGGCCCAAAATCGTTTATCGATACAGGGCCCTTCCCTGTTCGAGCGTCCATCGCGCAATCGAATCGCCGCCGCGCCTTTGGCGCATCTCGTCATCATTGGGCCCGATATGGGCCCATTGCGCGTCCTCGCACCGAGGTGTACAGAGCAAACGGAAGTCCCTCCCCGGGGCCCCCTCCTCGTAACGGCGCCGACAAAAGCGAGGGTTCGGGCCCCGGGGCGGGACCATTGTCCCGATTTCCCCGGGCAGCAATCGGGCCCTACGAATCCACCATGGCGGCCCGAAATTCCGAATTCGACTCGTGCCGTCCATCTCGATGGGCCCCGCGAAACCTCGCCCCTGGGAAGCCCGGCAAGGGAAGCCACCTTTCTTTTTGCGCGTCAAGGGAGGCCCGGCAAAATCGGGCCCAAGACGGAAGCAACCCCCGATCGGGCCTGACCGGGGAAAATCGAATCGGTTCTGGACGGACCGTCGACGGCATTGTCTGGAGTTGAAAAACGCGACGTCCGATGCAGTACCTAGGGCCCATAAATTCGGACCGGCATTGGCAGCCGATTTCCCCGTGGAAATCCGCGATCGGGCCCTTTGTCCGGGGTCGGGGAAGTGTGACACCGTGAAAGAAAAACAAAAAAAATTGGCTTCTTGCGGAGATCCTCGAAATCGCCGGCAATTCGAGTCGGAATGGACGCCATGTCGCTCCTCGTGGGGGGCCCTACACTGGCTGGTAATCGAAGTCTGCGGCCCCGCCAGGGAGCGCAGCCTCCCCGGGACCCTCCCCTGTATTTCCTAAGAGGGAATGTACTCCGGTTCATTAGCGCGAATCCTTCTCGTTCGAATTTTCCGCTCGCTGCGGTGATACTCGAAGTAATCCCGGGGGCGTACGCCCCCAGCCCCCAACCTCGGCGTTCTTTCATTCTTCGAGCCCCCTCGCCCCTCTTTGTTCCGACCTCGCGCTCGCGCTCTCCCCGGCGACCGAGTCCAAGCCCTTCCTCGGATGGCATCGTTGAAAACCCGAGGAACTCTTCTCGTTTGCCTTCCTCGAGACTCGAAGCACCCCTGGCCGAAACTCAAGTTGGCCCGAAAGATCCTGCCGTCGTCCTGGACCCCTTCCAGGGCTTTCCCCTCGCTTCGCCAAATCGCACCTCCTCCAGGAAACCCTCCCATAAGGCGTCGCTCTAAAAACGCAAGAGGAAGGTTAATGGAATTACCTCGGAGGGCGTTTGAACGGCCGGTAGAAATTTCTAAAAGGAACGAGCGGCCCCTCTGAGGCCCACCGAGAGGGCCCGATGGGCCCTGTCGACGCATTACCGATCTGACGAGGCCGCGGAGTCGGAATGAATATTTATACGTCAACGGGCAACCTGGGCCGTAAAGAAGGGATTAGTCCAAAATGACCGGGAACCGCTCTTGGATGCCGAAGAGGAATGCGAGGAGCCTAGGAGGAAAGGTCGTTAAGGCCCCGAAAAGAAATGGGCCCGAGACCGTCCGAGATGTCGCGATCCATGCTCCCGATGATGCGCCGTACCTGGAGGCAGACGCGATTACCGTCAATTACCGTTCATTAATCGTTAATCATTATCAAGGAAGAATTAATAATCAATGATTTTTCTAAATGCCTTTTCCCTTTTTCAGGCCGTCAGCGCCGGGGCCAGGCTGGCCATCGAGGAGTGCCAACACCAGTTCAGGTCGGCCAGGTGGAATTGCTCGGTGAACTCCGAAAATCCGCAGAACATCTTCGGAGGGGTCATGCTAGTCAGTGAGTAAACCTCGGCCGCTCCTGGAAACGTCAATTCCTGGTTATTAGGGGAATAGTCCGGGGACATTCGTCTAAGCCGGTCGTCGAAAACGAGCGTTTGCTTTCAGACAGTCGCGAAGCTGCCTTCGTGTACGCCATTTCGGCCGCAGGGGTGGCTTACAGCGTGACAAGGGCTTGCTCGCGAGGCGAGCTTACGGATTGCTCTTGCGACAACCGAGTCAGATCTCGACATCCCAATCACTGGCAGTGGGGAGGATGTAGCGAGGTGAGATTCTTTTGCACAGTCCCATTACGATACCTGGCGTTTAATCGCTAGGGATGGACCGTTTTAAGGGGATGCGAAAATGACATCTTAGAGGTCCATCGTTCATGAAACTTTTGTCCGAATTGGGTGTACCTATTTCTTTCATATCTTACCACATGAATAAGGAGACCCTAAGGTAGGTCCTGAAACTCGGGAAATTTCAATTGTCATTAAAATTCTTGAAAATGGGTATAAAGAAATTATCCTAAAATTGAAATTTCATGGGTCTCAGGACCTTCCTTATAGCCTCCATATTCACATTGTCGAGTTTCAGACGATTCGGTACAAATAGTTCGGAGATAAGTTTCATAAAGGATACTTCTTTGACACCACTTTCACGTTGCCTTAACGCTAGAACTACCGGTGGATTTTTTTTTCATAGGATCGGCCATTTGAAACATGTCATTTTGACTGGTCTTGGTAGTTCTAGTGTTAAACAGAGCAGCGTCCCGAATTTTCCAAAATTTCCGCTCGACTCGAGAGTCCCCCGCTCTTTCCGGGGTCGTCCCTTTATCGGCAGTCTGCGGGACATGTTGAGACAACCGAGCGGGTAAGTAGCTACTGGTTCTGGCATTAAGGGCCGGTTAGACGGCTTCTACTTAAATCTTAAACCGAGCTTAAATTTCAGCCCAGCGGCCCAAATGTCGGCCCCCGCGTAAGTCACCGTGATATGCCCGGTCGATTGAAATCCAGGAAATTTCCCGGGCCCTCCCTCCTCGGCTCTCCAGGAACTCGATTCCATATTTATTTTCACCCGGGTCGGGATCCCGAAATCCCAAGGAAATCAGACTCGGGATATAAATCGCTCTCCCGTCGGTCTTCGGTGTAATCCCGTTTAAGTAAAAGTTCCGGAGAGCCGGGGAATTTCGCCATTCCTTCGAGTTTCTCTTAAATCTTAAATTATAAACCTTAAACCGTGAATATTAAATCTTATACCTTAAATCTTAAATCTAGCGATTTTAAGTGCCTTCATGGCTTTTGACATTTCTTAGAGATTAAGTCTCTCGACCTGGGGCAAGGCGCGAGGTCTCCTCGGAGACAGGTCGCGCCGCCACCTGTGTGCGGTAACGCAGATGCGGTGATTCCGTCTGCGAAAAAGCCCGAACGCACGGATGAATTAGTCTTCCTTGAACCGGTGACCCCTTGTAGACACTGGCGGCTTACAAGGGGATTAAGGGGGCTAAGCTTGTTAAGTTGCAGGAACCCCTCGATCGTCGGCCCGACGTGCGCGCGGCCGTTCGCGTGTGCGTTGACGCGCGCGCACTCTGCCATCGGACCGGCAAAATCCCGAGGCCTCGTCGGTAAGCCCGCGTGTAAGCGCACGTAAGCGCACGTAAGCGCACGTAAGCGTACGCAAGGATGCGCGCATGCGCCCCAGCGAGCGACGTTCCGCCGTTCGGCTCTCGACTCGCGTAATCCGGGTGGGCGGTGGGGTCGGATAAGTGTCGTCTCCGTTTGCCGAGTATCGGTTTCCGCAACGAGGGCCGGCAATTCCGTCCACGCGGCCCTGCCACCTGGCGAAAGAACGACACTTTGCGAGTAACGAGGTTTGCAAGTCTCGCCGGGACGTGCAAATATCCTTACGCCGGTGCACCTGCTGCCCGGGACCAGCCAATTAGCCCCGGAAGCATTCCGCCGCGAGGGACACTTCCCGGAGACAAATTGAAGAGAGCCGTTCTCCTTCGAGATTCTCTTCAGGGTGCTCCTCAGGGTGCCGATTCCGATTTCCATGATATCGACGCGGTGCATCCTTGACTAGATGTCTCGTGGGAGCTCTCGAGAATCCTTTCCCTCTTGTCCAGAATGTTCTTCCTCCTTTCCTGAAGAAAAAAGGGATCAGTAGATACCGACAGACGTTGAGTAGTTGATGTGTCGAGAGGGTCTCCGTGACCGGACACGTGGCGACTGGCTGGATAACGACGACGGGTTTCAGGACATCCACTTCGGGGAGAAGTTCTCGCGCGAGTGGTCGGAGAGCGGCGAGGAGCCCGTCAAGGACGTCGGGGTGCACGGGCCCGGGAGCCTAGCTGGTCTGCTGATGAGAAGACACGACAGCGAGGCCGGGAGACGAGCGGTCCGCTCGAGGATGCAGCGCGTCTGCAAGTGCCACGGTGAGTCGTCGCGACGCCACCCACTACCCATCCGCGGGACGCCGCTGGTCCCTCGCGTCTCACTGAGCGCGTCGCGTCATGACGCTACGCAGTGAAGAGGTCCTCTGGACCTGCACTTCATGGTCCCACGAAATGACGCACGCGAAGAAGCGCAGCTTCGCTAGTGGTTCTTCATCCTCGATGCGCCGAAGCGACGCGCTCAGTGAGACGGTCTCGGATCCGAAGAAACGGATCGGCTGTAAGAATCTAAATTCGCTTACCCACTCGACAGGCATGTCCGGGTCGTGCAGCGTGCGAGTCTGCTGGCGAAGACTCCCGGCGTTCCGAACGGCCGGGACCGCCCTGGCAGGCCTCCACGAGGGCGCGGCCCTGGTGCGACTGGCCCAAAGGGGAGGCCGCAGGCCCGCCAGGCTCAGGCCCGCCAGACCGGACCTGAAGCGGCCCAACAAGACCGACCTGATTTACCTCGAAGACAGTCCCGACTACTGCGAGCGGAACGTCACGTAAGTTACGCGCGGCGCGCCTCTCCGGACCCTGCGCTCGCTTATAAGGACCTCTCCTGTGTGTAGAAGTAGAAATGCATATAGAAATACCTGTCTGTGTATATAAATGTATGTAATAACCATGAAGTGATCTTGAGTACCCTCGCTTGCCGGTTTCAGCCTCGGGATCCCGGGGACCAGAGGCAGGGTCTGCAACCGGACGTCCCTCGGCTTGGAGGGCTGCCGACTGCTCTGCTGCGGCCGCGGCTACCAGACGAGGGTGCGCGACGTCACCGAGAAGTGCAGATGCAGATTCGTCTGGTGCTGCCACGTGCAGTGCGAACTCTGTCGGCAGACGCGCGAGGAACACGTTTGCAATTAGACGCTCCCGTCACGAAGCCACTTCGTATGACCGAAGCGACCGGCGCGCGCCAGCCAGATCGAGAGTACCCGAGTGCGATCGAGCACCGAGTGTACCGACCAGACCCGAGTACCCGAGCTCGAGGACCAGGAAGCACTCCGAGACGAGGTCGAGGTCCCGAACCAACCCCTTCTGTGATCCGCGTTGACAAGGGTGTTCACCTGCATCTTCCAGTATCCTCGAACCGCGACAGGTCCGGGAATCTTCCCGGCAAAGGTTGCGGATCGGCGGTCCAGGTGCATCCGGGTGATCCGAGGGCGAGAAGGGTAGAACGCAGGAACGTCGGGCTCCCAAGGGCCGCCAAGAAATCGCCGCACCTCGGGGCGCGCTCTCCATCGGACGCACCAAGTATATCCCTGAAGTACTGTAATGAAGAGTAATTGCTACCGTAAGGCTTCCTCCGCGTGCTTCGAGGGTCTCTTTCGGGAGGAAGGATCTCTCTCCGTGCCGTGCGATCCGTCCGATCGCCGGGATCTCTTCTTTTTATCTTTCTTTTTTTCCCCCATTAACAAATTGCCCCTTCATTGACCGGCCGTTCCGAGCGACTCGGTGGAGCATACGAGCGGAAAAGTGCGTTCAACGTTCAAGGCCGAGCGACGCGTGGGGCACGAGAGCCCAAGAAGAGCTGCGCGGAACGTACGCGGTCCAATCGGCCGACGACGAGGTCCGTGTCTTCCCCTCTCCCCATATCTGCGACATCGGCGTCGAGGAGATGCAATCGCGGTCCTTACCCTCCGACCTTCGGCAACCTCGACGTTAGAAATCCGGAGTCCGTCTCTGGTGGCGTAATCTCCTCCCATTTCTCCTTCATGGGTCCTCTCCTCTCCTCGGAGCCCACGGATGGGATCGTTCCCCGGTCCTCGTTATCGGCGGGAATGGCAAGGTCGCTCCAACCGGGTCCCCCTTTTCTCTGGAAACACCATCGTTTTGTAAACCCGCCATCATCGCCCCGTTTATAAGGCGACATATGGCCTCTGCCATCGCCTTAACGCCGTGGCACGCGGGTTCTCGTGCCCCTCGGATCAGGAGCAGTTAATTCCGAGGGGCGGCCCTGCCCCGAGAGGGAGGGATACATCCAGGGTCCGGGAGAGCGACGGAGAGCACCGCGACCAAGACGCAGGGTCGCGCGTATAAAATCCGGCCAACTTTTACGATACACTTTCGGCGAGGGGGCCGTTTGACGGCGCTTTCGAGCCCGAAATCGAGCCCGAGAATCGACAGAGGCCGTTACGAGCCGCCAGCCAATCGCTGTTTCCTCCCCGATGAGTAACGCAGTCAATTTCCGCGTTTAATGTCCTCGGGGCGAGATAGCGTCCCGGCGCGCGGAGAGAGGAGCCCTCGGGGACGCGGAGGACGGCGAGGACGCTTTTAACGCGACGCCGCTTACTCGGCTCCGACTTCTCAGGAGAATAAATTCCCGTTGACCATGGCTTCCCTCGGAGGTCGCTCTAGATGGACCGGGACGGGTACTCGGGGACGTCCACGTCGCTTTCCAGCGCCGTCAGCGACTGCTACTGTACACGGGGAGAGTCTTGCAGGGGACGTCGTTGTACAGTGGTGACAAGGAACGACGGCAACGGGTACATGGATGACGTTTCCTGTAGGACTCTCCTGACGCAACTTGCGGACCAGGTGGAAGGGGGCAGGAATTACTCTCACCGGGAAGTGGTACGTCGGCAAAGCAACTACGGCAATCGGGATGGATATCCGGCTGACGGTGCAAGACCGGCCGAGAGCCGGTCCTCGGGTGTTCCGGTCTTCGTCGTGTACGCATGTGCCAATAGAGGCTAGAAGAAGATAGAGGAGGTCATTAGGATGGGGAGAAAAGAACACGAACACGTCGCCGTACAGGCTCGCACGCGGAGGGAGGCTCGTCTCACTCGGCCGAATGCTTCTCTAATGGGCCAGATGTTTAACCTGAATTTTCTACCTTATCAGGCCTCGATCAGGCCTCGATTACACGGTCCGGCCAAGGATTCGCTCCAACCGGATAAATGGCGCACTTGCGACTTGCATGAATTACATACCGGATGCGAAGACATTCGGTCGACCTGGACGAGCGTTCCCCATGCCGCGGAACTGTACCGGACACCTTCGATCCGATCCGTGCACTTACTCCTCGTCGCGTCCAAGTACTCGCGCCGATCCAGACCTGCGAATAATAAGTAAATGAATTAATCGAAGAGCAGAGTCCGCGAGATCGGGATCGGGCTCGAACAAAGTTAGGCTATGTTTAGGTTTAGGTTGCGCGCAAGGCAAAGGATACCAATGCTCTCTAGCACGTAGGCAAGCGGCGGAGAAACCTTAGGTTAGTGGACGTAAATTCAATTCTGCCCTGCCGGCCCCGGGGGAAGATCTTGACCGGTCCAAGGGCGGGGTTACCCTGACCCGAGATCAAAGAGACCGTATCGACGCTGGCCCGAAAATCCTCCGTCGAGCTGAAACAAGTACACGGATCGTTAGACGAGACGAGAGATAAAGACCTCACCAGATTCGCGGAACCGCCAAATCGAGTACCCGATCGAACGGATTAAGAGCTCGGCGATCTTGCTAGGATCGAGGGGACCCTTTGATCTCGGGCCAAGTTTCGTTACCTTGCACCAAAACTGCAATTCTTCTCCCTTGGTCCAGAGGGTCGAATCGGTCGGCCGTAAGGGGGGTTTCTTAGAGCAGCGATTTCGACCACTCGTCGATCTCATCGTCCGATCCGACAACGCGCAATTGCCCAGGAAACGTGCGGCCAATCGTTCTAGAAACGAATCGAGGAATATTTATAACTACAGTATAAAGTAATTATACCCTTAGCGCGATTCTAATACCAAAAGTGGTATATATAGGTCCACCCTAATGCGGTACCCATCAGCGGTGTAAAATCGTCGCGTTCGAAAGTCACATTCCAGTGTCAGTGTGATAAGATACAATTTTCACATCCCGATGATCGTGCGCCATCGGGCCGAGTCGAAACTATATCATAGAACCGGGAGCTAAGTATTAATTTAATGTAAAAAGTGAAAAATGCAAAAAAAGAAAAAGATAAATGAGATAGGCGACATTGGGCGACTCCGATCTAGCTACTCGAACCGTTTTACACCGCCGATTTTTAACAGTATTGTATATTATGTTGTACAATCCGGACTCTTTAGAGTGACCGTTCGCGTTGTACACTAATCGTGTCTATAGAACGTACTCTTCGTCCCCACGTGGGCACCTCTTGGAACTAAACAAAATGGCGGGGTTTGCGAGGACCTCGGTAAAGAGCCTCCCCTTGTTCGGGGAAAGCGAGACAATTCACCGTGCAATTCCACTCCCTGTAGCGGGAATTGCAGAGGCAGGCAATCGCAAAACCCCGCCAATTTGTACCTTTAAGCGGGACGTCGAGAGTGTCGAGAGCCGCGCACGCGAATCGAGGCAGAAAGGGAAGAAAAATAGGAGGAAATGCGAGGGTACGAGCATTTACGTGTCTGCATTCGCTCGCTAAAAGGCAAACGAGGAGTCGAATTCCGATTTTTTAGGGCGCGCCGCGTTTCCCTCGATCCTCGAGGAGAGATTGAAAAATAAAGATGGCGGACGAAACGAAGTCGCAGGTCCACCTTCGAAGAAATTCCTCTTGCCGGCTCCGCGGACGGAAGTGTACTCCACTCCTCGTTTCGTTCGCCGAATTCGGACCTTCGTGTTCTCCATCTGGGGTCGGATCCTCCACCTGGGGAAAAGGGGGATAAATTAAAACGTTTAAAGGCGCGCCCTACCATTCCCGTGTCGTCGTCTCGAAGAGGCCGACACGACTAGGACGTGTAATAAGCCGCGTTAAGTACTTACAAAGCGCAGTATTGACCGATAGTTATTTATTTCGCTCGCGGTACGCACCGATGAAGAAAAAGAGATACGTGAAGTCCGTTCCCAAACGATTAACACTTACTCGTACACGTTCACACACATACAGTACACGACGCCCACGTACAGAGTGTATGCGTAGCTTTTTTAATGTTACAAACGCAATTACTCTTATAATTGTGTCTGTCGATTAGTCCCAAGACCTTCTAGTTTATATTTGTATATGTACGGCACATGTACTCTCTCTATTGTGTATTTATAAATATGAATAAAAAAAGTATATATATATGTATATACAAGAGGTTCGGCTAGAGATGAGTTGGGAGATTGCTTACGGGCAGCGTCGCACGATCGTACCCTGTGCTGCCCTCTGGTTTCGGATGTTAGCTCTCACCGTTTTTTGCCCCCAAAGACGGCGCAACGAATTTCTGGTAGGGGCTCGCGCACTCGGGATGGCGGTGCCATCTACCAGTCGCCCTTGGCAGCTCACGTACTCGTGATGGTAATACCATGCGGCAGTTGACGGTGGTGGCTTACCTACGCTTACCGATACTGCTCGCTTTTGATGGTAAGGGAAGAACACTCGTGACGCTCCATTTGAGTTTATCTACTTATCTACTACTATTAAGTACACTGTTGCCTCGAAGTCGACATGATTCGGAGCTTTGGGGCACGCGTCGGTGTCGCGTACGGAACTCTCATGTAGCGAATCTGCGTGAGTGCGATCGCTCCTAGAAATCTTAACGCGTCCCAACCAGCCAAGCGCCAAACTACGGGTCGAGACGTTGAGTATGTGTGCATTCGGCGCTAAAATCGACAAGTATGCGTGAGACTCGAAACTGCGAAAAATTTTCCCGAGGCTTACCTAACTGCGGATATAAGCCGAGTCATTTCGCGCATGATTTTTACATTTCCCTACTAGCGTTATCGAGCGCTTTTCGAGCGTTTCTCGATCATTTTCAGAGCGGTTTAGAGCGTTTTCAAGCGCTATTGAGTGTTTTCGAGCCTTCGCGTACCGACCCATGAGCGAGAAATATACAGAAGCTGTACAAACGACTGTTTTTGATCTCAGAAATAGTGCACAGAGTACCCTCGTGGTAAACCGCGAACTGGGCAACCTAACCTGTTAGTAATGCCGATTAACCTAAAAAATAAAACTATTCCTAAATTTGTATTAAAAACGTGCGAATCATAACCTCAGTCCTGCTTCTCGGGTTCTGCAATTGTAGGCTCGACTTATTTGTCCAGTAACTCTTTATTGATTTATTTACTCAAATGGAAGGCAATCGATAAATTTGCAACAAATAAAAATAAATAACACACACTCGTTCTTTCCCTGTCTCACGTCTGTCCTTTCACGCTCTCTCACACTCTGGCTACAATTACTTCGTTACTTAAAATTACGTCGTTACTCGGTATTGCTCAACGAAACTCGTATCTCTCGCACTCTCGTATGCTCATACAAAATAAATTGCGTGCTCGCCTTGATATATATGTATACATATACATATACATATATATACGTGTACCATTCATCTTAATTACTCTCTTCCTGTAAACGCAAGTGCCTTATGGAAGCGATGCGTTATATTAATATCTATATATTTATATATAATATATATATCGGTGGCTCACGTCGACGTTTTGTATATATTTTCTATTTAACGAGGACACGCACCTCTCACGGCGGATTCGCACAGCCTGATAAAAGATCACCCCATCCTCCATTCAATTCTTTTTTACGCCGCACCTGCAAACTTGAAAACCACCTCAACTACGTTGGGGGTAGAATATACAATTAATGGTTTACAATGTTCGCACAGTTCGCTGTGTCCCCTGGATAAGTGGATTTTTGGATTAAGCAATTTTAAGAGAACATAAATCCAGACTAAAAATATTATTCAATGGCTCGACGTATCCAGAAGACTTATTAGCACAGTGCGATCATTTTTCGATTTAATAGTTTAATCGAACCTTGGCATTCGCTGGGACATTTTCCCTCTTTGCCGAAGCAAAATCGAGTACAAGAGAATTCCTCGTGTAGGCCCGACACCGCTTGTCTAACATCCTACGCTCCTTCTATACATATACATATATATCTATATTACAATATTTTACAGAACAATAAAGTATATTTATTGTCATGGCAACGGGTAATGACGCGAGTTGGGTGTGATACGTGATTTGTACGTAAGAAGGGATTTGCAAAGGGCATGAATTTGGCACATTGGCGATTCGGATCGTTTCTTTTTTTTTTTGTCGAAAAAATTCGGGATACTTGCCGGCTCGACTCGCGTTTCCAAAAGACGAAGAGACAGAGAGTTTCGTAGATTCGAGAAACCAGGTCCTTTTTAAACGGGATTCGGATAAATTAAGGCGTTTAGAAATAAAGGTACACTTTTTGGCCTGATCCAAAAAGTCCACGGAAGCCGGCCTCCATGTCTAAATGCACCGACCTCTGGAATATTTCTTTAACTTCCGGTACTGTACGTATTAGCTCGAGTCTCGAAGAGCAGTCGAAGCTCTTTGGAATGTGTTGCTTTAGAGATTTCTTTTTCTTTTTCCTTCGTTTCGCTCAAGGTTCGCGAAAATTGGGGAATTTCATGACCGACGGTCATCGAATTCAAGCTCGAAGCTAGCACCGGTTCTCGGAATATTGGAGCCCGTAAAAATGTGGCGAAAGAAAAGGAAGAAAAAAAATTGAAGGACCTTTAAACGACGCCCGCTGTTTGCGATTTAATAGTAAATTCGAAGTCTTTTTTTTTTTTTTTGAAAACGCGAGCCGAGATGGCGAGCCTTCCCTTTCTCTCCGCCAAGTCGAATTTGGATCCACTGAGCACCACTTGTTAAAAAAAAAAATATATATATATATAAGTATTAGCGCAAAGTATAATCATGCTCTCTGGTTTTCGCAATTCCTCTCTCCCCCCATTGATCTAGTCCCCGGCACTCGAAATTAGCTAAACGAATCGGCTGATTTTCGGATTTTAAAATAGAAAAACCGAGATAAAAAGCTTCGCCGATCGCGCGGCGCGACTCCGTCCGCGATTTGCACTCGCTACTTCTTTTTTTTTTTCTTTTTCTTTTTCTTCTTCTGCTGTTAAATATATTTCTCGCTTCTCGCTCCAGTGCATTCCCTGTAATCTTTCTTACTCTCTCGCTCGCACTCGCCCATTCTCGCTCCCTCCCTCGCCCTGCTCGTCGTTTCACTTTTTTCACCCCCATTTCTTTTCTCTTTCTGTACTCTCTCGTTCTCGCGGTCTCCCTCTCTTACTCTCTTGCTCTTGCTCTGAAGAGTTTGGAAACATGGAATGTCATACAAAGCAACAAGATGATCTTGAGAAAAGTGGGGAAAGTAGAAGCGGAGTGAGTCGCGCCGCGAGTAGACTCTACTCGCGGATCCGCCGCAGTATCGATTTTTTTTTTTTACCGGATCAATCGTTTTTCGTTGTGGCCCAATTGATACGAGTCGGTAATTCGCCGAGGAAATTGAAATTCACCGCCCTGGCGGGATTTTTCCTTGTTTCCGCCAGACTGGTGAACGCCGAGGGGCCCGTCCTGGGCCCAAAAGTCGAGTTTCGAATTTTTTCCTCTCGGGCCCCTCGGCCTATCGATTCTTGACGATCATTGATATTCTTGACAATGATACGGACACGTTTTCGATAATTGGTTTCGGCCCTTTCGTGAGACAGTTCACGTTGGAGCTACGTTCTCCATATTTCCTTTTTCGCCCTTCCTCTTAATCTCGGTGCCGTAGGCAACGTAACCCTGAATGTAAGAAATTAATTATATTTAGGGTTTGATCAATCGTTTAAACTGACTCATTGATAAATGGTCCGACGAAAGGCGTCGAGCTTGGAAAACGTGTCCGTATAGGCATTTCGAGTGGTCGCTGGTTACATGTACAATTAGCATTACGTCTAAAGTCGTTACATTAAATTCTCGTAATATGTTATGCGGTTATTGGTTACAGTTACGGTAGAGAAGAGGGTGGGGTTTATTTGGGGGACCTCGCACCCCCCCGAAACACCCGCTTCGAGTTCCTCGGGACCTGGGGCCCCGAGGAGCGCACACCTCGGGGTCCCCCTTTCCATTTTCCTCGGCAGGTTAGAAAACTCAAGCGACACACAATTGCAAGCATAGTTTGGATAGCTGATAGTAGTACTACGATAGAAGAAGATGAGCAAGATCTCGCGAGAGACTCTTTGGAGAATTTCGAGAGTTCGGCCGGCGAGCCGGCCGAAGTGGTCAGCTCCTCGATCCGTGGTCCATTTCATACATCATCATGGGTCGAGGAGGCTTAGAATGGACCTGGTCCATTTTGGTAGAGGTCAGTTCGTCGTAGCAGTTGATTAGAGTAGGCTCCGGCAAGTCTTTAGGACCCATCGACCTCCCTTTCCAGCCTAGCCAGTTCGGGTCGAGGGGACACGCGTTACGTTCTTCCCGTTCTTTGTGTAATCCCTCTGAAGCTAGACAATAAATTAATACAAGAGACAGCGTTAATTAATAATTGCGGGTGTTATTTCGTACGGGGGTTAACGCGCGTGTCTCCTCGGGTTAGCTGCGGTTCCGGGAGGACGATGGTCTAGGGTAGGACCGGGTCCGCTTCAGTTCGGTTCCCTCTTCCGAGGGTTGCTTCTTCGAGTCAAGGGAGCCCTTTTAATTCGATAACTCGTAGAACTCCGGAGCTTTTGTCTTGGAACCGATCGAGGTGTCCAAAACTGGGAGGCAGCTTGAAAAGAATTAAATCCTGGCGGCCCTGAGCAAGGTCTATGACTCTTCGGGGGAGTCGTCACTCCGAGTCGTGGTTTCGGATGATGAGGAGGGACCCGCCTCATGATCACTAGGTAGACCTTCTGGCCTGTCTTCGATTTTTCTCGCAGGGTCTCTTTGAAGCCATGTCTTTGACTTTGCTCGCATCTCAGGACCAGATCCTGGAGCCAGGATTAAGTCTGGAGTTAAGTACCTTGTAGGAACGGCGGGATTTCCGGCCTTTGCATCTCGGGCACCACGAAGAGAGTCTTTTCGCCTGGACTTGATAATTCGGATCCTGGCATACTCGAGTCGTTGGATCGGGATGAGTTTCTTCAGGAGCTTAAAGTACAGAGGGCCGAGCTGCCGAACTCCCCGGGCTAGGTGGCGAAGTCCACCTTGTCCCAGGTCAAGGAGAGATCGTTCGACATCTTGAAGTCGGAGTCCTCCATGTTGAAGAGATCAAAGGGGTCCTGGCTGTTGGCCAGCAGAGGGTCGTACAGGTCGTTGCTGGGTTGGGCAGGAGGGGGCGTGGGCTGATGATGAGTCGTGGACACGGGCGGGGACTGGGGCATTAAAGAGTCCAACCAGTCGGGGTCGTCCATGTCCATCGACATGTCCCCGATGTCCATCAGGTCCTGGGGAGCTTCCATCTTCACGCCGAGGTCACAGTCCAGCTGGCCGAAGTCCATTGTGTCCAACGTCTCCAGGTCTAGTCCCAGTTCCTGAAGTGGGGACGCCTCTCCGGTTAAAATCCTCGAGTTCACCGTGCAATCGTCCCAAGAATCACACAAAAGTACCTTTACCTTCAAATCAAGGTTGGCGTTGTCCGACGACGTCACTTCCTGCGGAGGCTGAGGATCTGGAGAGCTCTGTTGGACCGACTGGGGGCTCAAGAGCATCGCCGCGTCCAGTTCGGCCTCTGATCCCAGCAACTCCGCGCTAAAGGATGGAATGTCTTCTTCCTGCTGTTGTCGCTGGTGCTGTTGTTGGTCCTGTTGTTGCTGCAGCTCCGTGGGCAATTGCACCGAGAACGTAGCCAGAGGTAGAGGAGGGGGAGGCGGGGGTGGAGGCGCCGGGGGACTCGAGCAGTCGCTCTGAGACACTTCCATCGCCATGGGACTTATGGGACTCGTTGCTGCGAAGACCAGCGACTGGTTCGGACTATCGGCCGGGGCCGTGAAGACCAGGTTCTGCGGGATCTGGCGACCGGGGGTCGTCGGCGTTGCTGGATCCTGGGCTGCGCTCGGGGGCAGCTCCCCGTTTTTTATCAGAATCTCCAAGACGTCGTCCACCACTTGGCTCTTTATGTGGCTCTTCTGAACTGGCTCAATTTTCACCTGAAACCCGGAAAAAATTTAATTGGCTTGGTGAGGGAGAAACCGGAAAAGGTCCGCAGTTCGGCACACGCGACGCCAGCAAGGTGCTTAGGTAACTGACCTTCAGCAACTTCGTAGCCTCGTCGTATTGAGGTGGAGGGGGCTTGCCATCTTCGCCGGTTGGTTGGACTTGTGCTTGCGCCACCAAAGCCCCCAGCAACGATCCGTTCAGTTTCGTTGCCTTGGCCAGATTCAGCAAGATCGCTGTCGGCAGCTGCACGGTCGTGTTGCTCTTAGACTGGTTCTTCTTGTTGTTGATCACCGTCAAGGTGGCCGTGTCCAGGATAGCGGTGGTATTGTTTGGCTGAGCTTGCAAGAAAGCAGCGAGACTAGCTTTAGCGTTGAGTTGCTGGAAGGTTACGTGTTGCTGCTGGGTTTGCTGCTGCGACTGCTGGTGGTTCTGCTGCTGTTGCTGCTGGTGGTTCTGTTGGGCTACCTGCTGCGACTGCTGCTGCTGTTGCGACTGCTGGTGGTTCTGCTGCTGCTGCTGCAGGTGCTGCAGCTGCTGCATGTGAAGGGCGAGCTGCTGTTGCTGCATCTTGTTCTGTATATGCTGCTGCAGGACCAGCTTCTCGGCGCGCACCGTTGCTGGCTGCGTCTGCCTGATTTGCTGGAGCTGTTGCTGCGACTTGTAAAGCTCCCTCTGCAGCTCCTCGATCCTCTTTCTCTGTTCCTTGATGATGTCATCGCCTGTAACCGCCAAGTAATCGTGGTTAGACCTTGCACCGTCCAAGAATCATGCCTTGGACTCGGCTGAAAGATATTTTCACATCCAGAGCATGACTTCGATCGATGGCTATTCCGATCGGTACCTGGTGGACTCGATGGATCGTCGTGCTCGCTGCCTTGAGGAGAATCCGTCCTGGGACTGGTGGGCTCGTCCTTGACCAAGGACCCTGGACTTTTGACTTGCGAGCTGGACTCGTCAGATCCCATGGGGCCCTGTGGGTCCGATATGAAGTGACCCATGTGGTTCATGTGGGACCCAGTCGACAACCCGTTTCCAGGGGACTCCGTGAAGGGCTTTAATCGCTCGATCAGCTGCGGCTTCGAGCCCGACACCGGAAGGTTTCTCCTCTTCAGCTCCACTTTTAGGTCGCTCACTGGAAAAAGGGAAATTGGACTCGTTAGACCTTCCACTGGCTGGGCGCCCTTTTTATAAAAATTCATATTTTTAGGGAGAAGTCGAGGAGGGGGTACCTTTCATGTCTTCCAGTTTCCCGAGGGGCCTCAACGGTGGCTGATCCGAAGGGTTGCTCGACGAATTCGAGGGTGCAGGGCTGGGGGCATTTAGGCTGCTCCCGCTGATGCTGCCGGCATCGCTGCCCCCGCTGGTGTTCAGCGACAGCGGCTTCTGCGCCGCTGGCAGGATTATTTGGGGGTACTGGAAAAGAAACGAGACCAAACGGGTTCCTTACGTTCCTTGGAGACAATTAGCTACGCGAATCATTAGAGACGTTAGCTGGAACTTTGGGACTTGGACTGACGGGGCGAAGAAAAATCCAAACGCTCGAATTCACCGATTGCTAACTGCCGACTCGTGGCAGGAACGTCTCGCGGATGTGCTCTCCTGGGTGGGACGTCGGGGCAGCAACAAGCGTTAGTGAAACTACGTCGTAGCTAGATTTAATGATGGTTAGTCAATTATCGGTTGCTGTTAGGTTAACGGAGCAAATCAAATTGGGAATCGATATATGGCGAATTAGTAGCGGCTGGTTAATTAATTGCTGCATATGCGGAGGGCTGGGAATTCAAGATGACTGCGCGACTCGACGAAATCCTCGATAGCGATTGCTGGGGCAAGATTGATATACGAAAAGCGAAAAGTCGGCGCCTCTTAATGGCGATTAAGCCGGGAGAAGTGCCGTCCAATTTGCCAGCGATTAATTAATTAGCCTCGGGGAAGAGCAGACAAAACTACCTTGTGCTGCCACTCGAGCTGCCACTGGAGGAAGAGCTGCTGTTGCTGCAGCAGCAACTCGTAGCTGGTCTCACCGGGTGGCGCCGAACCGAGACCGGAAGTCGTCGAGGACATCGATGTCTTTTGCGCGTTTGGCGGACCCTGCCAACATTCGTTAGTCGCCGTTAGCCGTTAGTTCCGCTAGATTAATAACTTAATCAGTTAAGTCGGTTAGTATATACCGGGCCGGCAACGAGGCGCTTCTTTGGGTGCTCGGTTCAGCCTGACAACGAGACGAATTCGTTTCCCACGACCTTTAACGCTCTACATCCTAATTCCTAATTATCGTCAAAACTCCGTTTGAAAATTGCCGCGTTGCTTTTTCGAGATCGTGGCCGCGGAATCGATGATAACGGTGGCGATCCGCGATGCGATCGGACTTTGGGGCTCTTATCCAGCATTCGCGTATATATCGGTGCCTCCTCAATGACCAGACGAGCACCTCGCTTGGCACCTATCGGGCAGCTCTTGTAACCAGTCCTCACCTCGGTCGCTCTTAAGTGCAATTAGCGCTCGAATTACTCAGAGCTAACGAGGTGGCCCTGGGCCGAGATCGGGAGAGTTAATCACTCGATACGATCTCCTCTCCCGACTTCTCTCTCCCCGGGCGGGTGCCGTTCGCGGAGATTCGCAAGGCGGTCCATATTTTTTATTCCTGCCTCCCGGCATCCCTCCTACCGGCCAAAGGGATCCCCGGGCATCTCTCGACCAGCCTCTCCCATCTCCCTCTTTCCCCCGGCCTTGCCGAGGAGAGTCTCTCCGTCACCGAGATATCTCCTCGGAACTTTCGCCGGGGCCGCTTTCCTCGCTCCCGGTGCGATTGGTCCAAGACTTCCCCCGACCGAGTCGGGATTTCAGGGTCTGGGGGGACCCTGAAGACCGCGGTTTCCTCGGACTTCCCTCGAGGACGGAATCGATGGACCTCTTCTGTATCTCCTGGCTCACCTACTCCTGCCCTGCGAGGATCTCCAACGGGTTAGCTGACCGGACTATCGGGCCTACCTTGTACTCGTGGAACTTGATGGTGCGGGTCTTCGGCTGGCTCTTGGTCTTCGATTTCTTCCGGTTCTTGTCCTTCCCTGGCGCGTCGCTCCTCTGGCAGGTGGACGAGATGGGGCTGGGCTGGGGCCTCGGGGTGATGGCGGCTGGGGGTGGCGCCGGGGGGGAAGCTATGCTGATGTTCGACAGGGGACTCAGACTCGAGGTCGTGGAGCCCAGCGACATGGGACTCGGAGCTGGGGCCAGGGGGAGCAGCGTCGCCGTTGGTCCGTTGCTCTGGTTCGCCTGGGAAGAAGAAGGATATTAATTCCTATGCATGTCTATGGGAAACTGGATCATCGGAGGGACACCTATCGATGCTCACCTGCGTGGCGGCGTGCTGCTGACTCTGCTGGACCTGCTGCTGCTGCGGCTGATGCTGATGCTGCTGCTGCTGCTGATGCTGGGGACCCACTACGCTGCTGCACAGCTCAGCGAACGTCTGTATCGTCGGCTCCGTCGCTGCCTGACGGAATACCGGCGACGTCGACGTCACCACGACCGCTCCTCCCGTCGTCGGGATGCTCAAGGACACCGTGACGATCCCCGCGGATGCTGCGGCTGCCTCCAGGACGTCGGTCCTCGACTCCAGAGGGGGAGAGGGTGCACCTTCCGAGCTCTGGGAGTCATCCTCGAAGGTGATGTAGTGATCCGGGTGCTGCGGCTTCGTCACCTGGCCCTCGCAGGTGGCTTTGAAGGGAATGTGACCCTCTGGAAGAGAATCGAGGATTGTTGCTGCTCTTCGGCGTCCGGTCGGGGGAACCTGGAGGTTACCTACCTTTGACCGCCCTCTCGATCGGCTCCTCCGTGTGGAGGATGTTCTTCTGGATCAGCTCCAGAGGTCCCGGTCGGTGGCTCAGCTGGTCGTTCAGTTGGTCCGCCAATCTCGCCTTCTTCAACATGCGCTGACGCTCCGCCAGGCTCGGGTCCACGTGGCCCACGTCCTCCAGGATGTGCTGCCTCACCAGCTCCTCCCGGCCCGGTCGTTGCTGAATCTTCGCCTTCAGCAAGTCCCCGGTTTTTGCCCGCTCCAGCTGCTTCCGCTGCTCGTGGAACGCTGGCGGCGTCTTCAGGGCTGTGGAGGAACGATCGGTCGGGGGTGTTTAGCTTCCGGTCGAGAGTTTAATTTTTCCAGATTTACTGGTTTTATTTATTCCTATATTTTTCACGGTAGTGCTCGGTTCCTAACGGCATGCCTTTGGCACCTGGTGCGAGGTCTCGAGACCAGCAACAGGTCTCTCGGTCCAAAGGCCGCGGATTTTCCCCGGAGAACCGGCACTCGGGCGTCGTCAACGTCGAGACCCATCTTGACGGGACTTATGTATTCCACTCGGTTAACTCTCTTGACACGCGTACTTGAAGAGGAGCGTCTTCCCGAAATTCGCCCGTTCTATTCCCAGTAAACGCGGCGCAGTCGCCGGCACTTTATTACGCAAAATCGCGGATAGTCCGACGCGACAACGACGCCGGGCACCGCGATATATCGAGCCCAGTTGCTGGCCCAATTGTCCGTCTAGCGATGCCCGGCAAAATTTGGAGCAATGGCGGGGCTCTCGATCAACTTTATGAGCACCGACGAGACGAGCCGAGTTCTCGCGCGGATAAATCCGACCGATTAATCGACGCGAGGCTGGTCTAATTCTGAACGACGGGGAACTAGGAATTGGCGCGAAATTAAAAATCATTGGGTCCCTCCAGGGTGATGAGGTGCCAGCTGATTTGGACCTCGCTGAAAACTCGATCAGTTTTCCTGGGATCGTCGCGCGCTTCTTTATCGGCGCAATGGCGAGAATATAACCAGGGATAAACCATATCAGAGGACCGGGGTGCGACTTAAACAATTGCTGGGCATAATCTCGATGATAGTCTCCGTGATTTCTCGTCAATTTGCAAATCAGTATGATTTTTAAGGGTCCGCGTATTTAATGCTTCTTTTTTTTTTTCTTTTTTTAGGAAGAAGGAATCTCTTATCGGCGTTACTCGGGGGACTGATAGGGGAGTTAAGAGCTTGTCACTTACGAGGCATGATGCCTTGTGCCACCAGCTGGTTGATGGGCCTTCTCAGCATGAGCTTCACCTTCAGCGCTGTAACAGAGGAAGGGTGAGATTACGATTAATCGGTGTCTCTTATCATTGGTCTCGCCAGGTGATATCGACGAGGGATTAAGGAGGATTTTCCCGATTGTCCAGCGAAATTGGCGGAAGCTATGACGAAGAGAAAATGATAGCTGAAAAGAGGAGGGATCCTGGGAATTCTGGGGATCTCGGGAATTTCGGGAATTTCGAGGAGGCGATAAAAATCGAACGGAAGTCGCGGCGCCGTAAAGATGGTCTCTCCCGCGGGGCGACCCAATTCCGCGTTCGCGGAATGGGGCCCGCGGGTGCGTTTCTATAAAAATCGCGGATCAAAGGGATCTGCGGGGTCCGCGGGCGGCATCTACTTTCCGCATACCGAATAAACCGTTCCGCCGGCGGAATCGCAGTCGTCGGCTCGATCTCGCGAAGTCGCCGGAGCAGAAGTGCCGCGAGAGGAGACAAGAAGACGACGAGCCGGAGGAGGAAGAGGCTGGCGAAAAGGACAAAAAGGAGAAAAAAGAAGGGAGGAGAGCCGAGTCCCCCGCGAGACTCGCGATGACGAAGAGCGAGCTTTTTCTTTTCGCCGAGCAAGAAACCCCGAAGGATCCTCGCGACCGTGTTTTTGCCCGGCGCTTCTTGCGCACGAGCTGCATTAAACGTCCCCCTTCTTCTTCTTATTTTTTTTTTCCTTCCCCGCAGCCGCGGAAAGAAGGAAGCGACGAGTCGGACAGTCAGCTTATCGCGATTTGGACTCCTTCTCCGGTTTCGGGAAAATCAATTGTCGCAATCGAGCAACCGGATAAGAACGACTCCGATGGACGTCCTGGCTAATGCGATGGATTCTCGAAATTCCCTCCCCCCCCAAAACCGCCGTGCGCGCGCAAATTAACACACAAAGGGCCCCGTGGTTATAAATAAAGCTCGGATCGGAGATTGCATAAATTGCGAGCCAAAAGCTAAACCAATCACGGCGCAATCTGAATTCAAAGCGGCGACGGTCGAAATGGCTCAGCTGCGCCGCATTCTCCAACGCGTCCAACTCTACGCACCTGCGCGGTGCGTAGAGAATTTTCCCGAAAATCGGAGGGGGAAAGAAAAAATGCAGTATCTCCGGCGAATGATTTTTTTTTTTCCCAGTATCTGGATATATGCTAAACGGCGACGCGTTGCACCTCTCGCGGTCCTTAGATTTTCCTAAAAAGTCCTCTAAAGAAAGGAAAGAAAAAGGTGAGAAAATTCAACCTCTCGAAATTTGGCTTTCTCAAGCCTCGGTTAGGCCTCGGGGGGGTCTAGGCTCGCCGCGCTTCCGCGGTAGGTGCGCGTTTTATCTCGGCACGTGGTAAACGAGGGCCATTATCAGCGCCGAGTGTACTTACACGCGGAGCCGGGTTGCTTGGCCGAGCCCTCTGGAGGAGCGGGCCGACTCGCGGCTCGCGCCGCAAAGAGAGGATAAAATAAGGCCCGGGGGCGGCGGGGGCCCGGGGCCCGCGATGGATGCCGTGGTCCACGGAAGACAGATGCTAACGACCAGAGCGGCACGAGCTACCAAGAGATACGCACGGGCTCAGCCCCCGAGAGAACGGCGCGCATGCGACTCCGGGCCCGGCGCACGTGCATAGTTATCCGATATGCACGCCGGGTGACGCGGAGGGGCCCGATGCAGCGGCCCGATGCATCGGGGCCCTTTGTGCGCACTCGCTCGGAAACTGCGACTCGCGAATCCCGGGTCCCTTTTTCTCGGACTCCCCGGGCATTTCGGTTTAGATGACGCGCAACCCCCCTGGGGGTTGAGTGCGCCTCATCGACCCTGCGAGTTACGACGACGCACCAATAAGTGATGCAGGTAAGATGGGTTTATTTATTCTAGCACCTAAGACTGGGAGGTGACGATCTTGGCCGATGAAATATTAATAACCGCTACGAGGGACATATCGGACAGGGAGCCTTTACGTAAGGGGGGATTCGTCTCTCGAGGCTGAATTACGCTATCCCGCCCACCGACATATTTCCCGCGGCTGCCGTTTTTTATTCGTTTAACGCCCGGGAACCGCCGCGTAGGTTCCCCGTGATATATGTCGACATATGCGAGGCTCAACCCGAAATCCAAGACACGTGGCGCCGCGTGGGACACGAGCGCCGCCTCTTGTACAGATGAGTATCCGAAACGCAACGTGCATATCCCCTAGGCAGAATCAACACACCCCTAACGTGGCGTTAAGCAAGAAAATAAATATATTCCATCTCGATCGCGCACCGTCAATTTTCCCAGATAATTCCTAACGCTCCCGGAGGCGCGACATTTGATTATACGCGAGACAATGACCGGTTCTCGCGTTAATGTCCGATTTGTACTCCCTTATCCTCCACCTTCGCTCTTATCACGGGATTTATACCACATCTCGCGGATATCACCAAAGGGCCGGGGCCGCTCGCGGCGTTATTGTCAATCGATAGGATTCCTAAGAGTCCCCCGGCGGGCCCCGAAAAATCCCCCGACTATAAATCTCCCCTTGAACGGGGGGCCCCGATAAGTGCGGCGAGCAAAGCAAAGCGAACAAGAACGGGGGCAGAGGGGAAAAAAGAACACGGGGGGCGAAAAATCCGGGCAGATTCCAGCGACGCAGGGCCTGAACCGCACACGCCTATGGTGACGCAGATAATATATCAGGAGGATTCCACATAAAACACCCCGGCGTGTGCGCGCGCAGCCCCGCTCGTGCATAAGTACCTACGCGCGATGCATAGAATGCAAATTCGCGGGTTGCATTCCTGCCGAGTGAATCTCGCGTGCATCGAACACCTCCCTCGCCCCCGTAGGGAGAGGGTGGGGGGCAGAGGGGAGAAAGGGGACCGAAGAAGTCGAGAGCGAATAAGAACAAGTCCCCCGGAATGCGCCGGAAAGACGGATGATAATTACCCCGGCTAATTAGGGATTTCTTAAATTTCTTAAATCTCTTAAATCCACAAGTCCCGGAAATGCAGCGGCTAAAAGGGTGGTCCGGATAAATAATTCGGGGATTTAGAGAGGAAGGGGGATTTCTTTCTTTTTTTTTTCCCTACTCCTTGGCACCATAAATCGCGCTGGTAATTCGAGAGATTACGTTTGAAGTTAATTTCAATGGGGAAAATAATTAGACTTGTTAAGAGGTCGGGGTTCTGTACGGGGTGGAAGGGTTGCACGGTGGTTCTCGAGATCCATCCGGTGTGGTATCGATCTCGGTGGTTATTTACGAAGTAAATAAGAAGTCGAGGCGGTGATTAATCGGACTCTTTTTCGCCGGCCGGTAGTGTCCTATTTCGAGAAAAAGCCGGCGGGAGGAAAGTCGGGGAAACACGGAACGGAGAAACGCTCGGTACGGGAGACGCATTTATATACCGGGCAGTGTCGCGGGGGTGATCCAATAATACGGAGCTTTGAGTATAAATAAAGCCCCGAAAACCCGGAGATCGGAGAAAGAGAGAGGAGGCCGAGGAGCGCTCTCGAAACGAATCTCGATTTTCTCCGTTCTTTTTTCTTCTTCTTCTTTCCCCCCTTTTTTTTATCCTCCTTTTCTTCGGCGGAGTCCCTACTCCAATTTGAACGTGCTTATGTTAAATTTATCCTTCTATTAGGGCGAACGTTGACTTTCGTTCCCTCGCGGTCGCTCGGCCGAAATAAGACTCGAGATCGATAAACGCGATGCTTCCCTCGGCCGGCCATATTTACGGCGTTCCCCCCCTCGACATCCCTAGGTGTCGTAAAAGCTAAGTGCACCCGGCCAATTGCGGAACGCAAACAGCTAAGTGCCCAGAAAATTGATCCTCGCCGGCAGTCTATTCTCCTCCCTTTCTTTTCGCCTTTCTTGCTCCACCATATTGAATACGTAATTATACCCCGGGTATGTATTCGAGGCACGTGGGGTCGATTGCGCCCGAGGTTTCGCGAAAACTCGGTATTACAAAGTCGACGTCGGGGTATATCACCGGTCATCGCAGCGGTAGCCGATGCGCCGGCACCGGAGCAGCAGTGCAGTACGTGCACCGAGTGCACTTAACGTCGCGTTAGCACGCTCCGCCCCGTGAGCCACGCCTTCCGGTCTAGGCCCCCTCTTTCAGTGGGCCTTTCCGTCAACTCTGGGGCCCCTTGTTCATCGGGGCCCGGTGCATTTCGGGTACGATGCATCTCCCGGTGCATCGCGCCCATAAAGTCGGCCCTCCTCTCCCCGCCTCCCAGAGGGAATTTCCCAATCACCCGCGGAAAGCGGGCCGATAAAGTTGTGAGATATGAGATGAAAAATTATGAAAATCTTACCCCCCCAGAATTTCCGCCTCTTCCCTTCCTTCCGACTTTCGTCGATTCTCCCGCACTGGGTCCCAGAAGTCTCGGCTAAGATATTTTTAATTCGGTCCCGCGCTCCTCGCCCGGGCCGTTTGTCGTGTAAGTGAGGTTTTACCTCCCCCCTCTTTTAGGCGCCACTAAAATCGGGGTTAACAACTTCGAATACCCATGAATATACGGGGATTCCGACAAGTCGACCTCCCCTCTTAGAGGGGACTTGCGCAAATCGGGGAATCGAGTCGATCAATGAATATTCTTGAGTTCCCCTGACTCGCTCTTAATTACCTCGCCCATTTATGGGATCCGTCTAGAACGTGATCCGGTAAATAAGTCGCGAATTAACCCGCTGATAAGACTGACTGGCGGGTATGCCGAGTTTCTCTGGAGGTCTTAATAAAATTATTATTATCCTCTCTTTTCTCTTCCCGCGGAATTTTCTGCCGATCGGGTCCGGTCGTCGGGGGGGATTTACAAGACCGCGGGGGGGAAATGAATCCTGAAACGCGAGTCGAGCACTTTTAACAACCCGAATGCCCATCGCCGAGGTAAATCAAGCCGAGCTTTACGAGGGGCCGTATATATTACGCAAATCTATCTGTCGTTAAACGTCCCCCGCCCCTCGACGCCCAACACCTCCGCAGCTTCCAAACAGCGTTTCCATAACCTCCGGCGAAGATCCCTAAGGAGACTC